CTGCTGAGACGCCACTGGAGCCGCGGCCTGGGTTCCGGCGGCGACTCCAGGCGCAACGTATGGGGCCCCCCACCGATTATGACGGGCGCAGCCTCTCTGCCGCGCCTGGAGCCGCCTAGGATAGGCCGACACAACCCGAATAGCAAGGGGGTCACCCATGAAAATTTTCGCGAAGCGCTAAGCGTGGGCAGCATGAATATTATTGGCGGGGCGCGGCGAGGCCGAGCGATTGATGTGTCAAAATGATCAAGTGAAAACAAGAAGCGCGACTACCTTCGCTCCGCGCCAAGCGGGAGGGACAGCCCCATGAAGCTCTCGGCGAAGGACAGATGGTGGGCGCACTGTTGCCTCACCCTTGCGTCAACTTCTCATCGCCAAATTTCGTTTACCGCTAGCACGGGCATGCCTTTCGCACCAGCCTCGCGCGGGCGGTCTCGCGTCCAGTCGCATCAACGCGTATAGACAGGTTCGCGCACATAGTGTGTCAGACAACGTTCGCATGCCCCGCGCGGACAGGGGCGCGGGGAGTTCTGGCGCGCCGAGCAGAGCCCTCACTGCGAGGGCGGACTGCCCGTGCCTCTCCATCGACAGGGATGGGCATCCGAGCTCTAGGCACGAGGGGCGGGCGCCACTGTCTGTACATCTACAGGGCTGGGCAAGAAACGGGCGCGTCACCTGCTCGACACAGTCGATGCTGGAGGCCGCCGCGCCCGCAACGGCAGTCTGGCCGACCCACGGTCACTTGAGCGGGCCCAGAGGCTCGTATGCCGAGCAACACCCTCATTGCTGGGCGGGGCGGAGCGACACGCGATCCAAGAGTTCCCGACCGCAGGCCCAGGCCTCCAGACGACGACGACGACGACGACGACGACGACGACGACGACGACGACGACGACGACGACGACGACGATGGAGGGCGATCGTCAGCGGCGACGGGAAAGGCAGCGCGGCGCGGCCCTGTGGCCACCACGTGCCGAACCTGCGGACGGCGAGGCACTGTCGGCGCCCCTCGCCGTGGCCCTGGCCGGCGCTTAGACGCGCCACGGCACGAGCGCCGCGGCAGCGGGCGCAGAAAGCGGGAGCGGACGCGCACCCGACGGAGAGGCACGGAGGCACGGACCGAGCCTCGGGAGAATCGAGGCGGAGCTTTGTCGCAGTTTCGGCCTCTGGGGGCCCTTACTGGGCCTCGGGACCGTCAAAAGACGACTCGGGATGAGAAACCGGTCCCGGGGAAGTGGTCGAGAGGTCGAGGGGCCGCGTCTCGAAAAAAAATCGAGACGTTGAATGCCTGGGAATTGCATCTTGGCGTGAAAGAAACGGATCCTGAGGGAAACGGGTCCTGGACCCAGGGACCTTCCCCGAGGACAGGCTCTTCATCCCGATTCATTGCTTGACGGTCCCGAGACCCGCGGAGGGCTCCGAGGTGCCGAAAACTGCCAAGAACCTCCGGGAGCCACTTCCCTCAAGACCCGCTCCCTCGTGGCTGGTATCGTACGATAGCGGTGAGCTCCCTCCCAGAAGGGTGGAGTCCATAGGTCAGCATGCCAGGAGCCAAAGCTCCATCCCAGACGTCCGGCGCCTCGATTTTTTTCGAGACACGGGCCCCCGACCTCGACCACTTCCCCAGGGCCGGTGTTTCATCCCGCGTAGTTTCTTGACGGTCCCGAAGCCCAGTAAGGTTAGGTCGGGCCTGTCCCCCTTCAGGGGGATTTTGGACGAAAAAAAATGCCCCAGAAATGCTCAAACATAGTTTTAAAAAATCGTCCCCAGACTATTTCTTGTTCTTTTTGGGTATTCCTCCTGTAGAGGGACAGGCCCGACTCAACAGTAAGGGCCCCCCAGAGGCCGAAAGCTACAGAAAACCTCCGTCTCGATTTTGTCGAGACGCGCCCGATGTCCGGGGGCGGCCCGTGGCCTGCGGGAGGCCCCAGGAGTGCATGCACGCTGCGGCAGGCCGCGGCGGCTGCAGCCTGGGCCTGCCTCGAGCGCGGGGCCGGGCCGCCTCCTCCTCCTCCTCCTCCCCCTCCTCCCCCCTCCTCCTCCTCCTCCTCCTCCTCCTCCTCCTCCTCCTCCTCCTCCTCCTCCTCCTCCTCCTCCTCCTCCTCCTCCTCCTCGAAAGGTCACTCTTACGTCTAGTCGAACCGAGCAGCTACCCGTTGCAGGGAATCGCTCCCAGGCCGCACCCGCCACCCGCTCGGAGGCGAGGCCCCTGCCGCACAGGTGTGCGGGGCCCGCGGGCGCCCGGGCGGCACTTCCAGAGAGCGGCGGAGCACGGCGGGCTGCACTGCCTTCGGGGTCGGGAGCCACGTCGAGCTCCTCCTCCTCCTCCGCCTCCTCCTCCTCCTCGGGCTCTCCGCCAGACACCTCCGACGTCAGCCCCGCGAAACAGAGCAGGAAGCGTGCCGTGGAGACTCTCTCCATGGACCAGGCGCTCTCCTTTCCCGAGCGGGGGAAGCTACAACACGCAGCTCAGGGTGGAGAGGGTGGAGGCGTGGCAACAGAGAGGCGTCCAGCAGGGGGAAACGACTAGTGGACACTGCCCCGCTCCCCCAAACTCAAAGTCGGCACGCGCGGGGGAGACTGCGGTCGAAGTGGATCTCATCAGACCCGCAGCCAACTTTGAACATTTGGGGGGAGGGGGGAGGAGTTGACCGATGAGCGTGGCAATGCGCGTTCGCCATTGTAGTTCCGAGGCCTCTCGCTCCCTCCTGGGGCCAGCGCTGCCTGGCCCCACGGACCCCCTGCCACTTCTACCCTGGGGGGCCATCGGGGCGCGGGCTCGGCGCAGCGCGTCGAACTCTCCACCGCGAGCAGGCCGGCATCGTCGGCGCAGCCGCTCACGCAGCTCTCCTCGGGGTCGGGCTCGCCGTCGGGCGCATCCCCGAACGGGCAGGGGTGGCGCAGCAGCGGGACCAGTGTGACATGACCCAGGCAGAGCCCCTAGCAAGGTAGCCCTGGGCTGCGCAGGAGTCGATCGAGATCATGCTGTGGCGGACGGATTCTGCCCACCTCGAGCGAAAGGGACTCACGCGGCCAGGCGGCAGGCCAAGGAGCTCCAGCGCGCAAATAAACAAGCCCGTCCCAAGGACAGAACCGCGGCCGCAAGATCAAAGCTGGTGAAGGTCGGCATCTTCGCGTTTCAACCAGGCAGGTAAGACGCGAGTCGCACCTCGCAGCCGCGGATGACGATATGGTTGATGATGCTCCCGCCAGGCGAGCTCCGCGTGCGCTTGCAGACGGATCCGACGGCTGACCCCAACGGCGCGATGACCCTGATGTCAACAGTGCTGGGAGGCAGCGGGCGCGTGCCTTCAGAGCCCCTGCCAGTGGACAGCTCCCCCACCGCGTTGTCGCCCCTCGGCAGCAGAGCTGGCTGCTCATTCTGGGGACCCTCCTGCAGACACTCGCTCCACTCGTGCGTCGAAGCTGCGTCGAACGTCCGTCGATTTGAGCCGACCTTCGAGTCGAGCCTGAGTCGAACCCGAGTCGAACCTGAATCGAACCTGCGTCGAAGCTGAGTCGAGCTTGAGTCGAACTTAAGTCGAACTGGGGCCGAACTGGAGTCGAACTGGGGCCGAACTTGAGTCGAAGTGGGGCGGGTCCCCAAAACGAGCATCGGAGGAGAGCGAAGCGGGAGCCGTTCCGCGTGCGCGGGGCACCCGGGCCAGAGCACAGCAGGAGCACAGAGCGTCCTCGAGCACAGTCGGGCGAGAGCGAGGCGCCCGCACCGCGGGCCACGCCGCCCCTCGGCAGACCGACGGCGCCCCGACGCCGAGCTGCTCGCCGAGGGGCCACGTGTCGGGCGCTGGCAGAACTGGGATTCAGGGGGACCTCTGGTTTCGTGGTGTGCGTGCCGGGGGGGCGCCCCCCCCAGGACTCGTTCCATGAGCCGGAACTGCCGTCACCCGAAAAACAGCAGCTACGGCAGGCCTGGTTCAGTGATTCTGGCCAATTGAGGGGCTCTGGGGCCCTACCACTAACCAGGTCCCCTCACCTGGGGTCCGGGCTATACCCGAACGCGGTCGTTGACGTGTTGGTGGGCCTTCGCTGAGGGTCGACCGAACTTCGACGCAAAGATGGACTGCCAGCGGTCGCGGAGCGGGTCGGCCACCGCGCAGCCCTCGAGGGGGCGAAGAGACGGCGCCAGGAGTCAGCAGGCCGCAGGGCATCGCAGGGTGAAGCCTGTGCTCCTCTGGCCCCGGGGCTCGAGGTGTGGACGTGGGGGGAGCTCTGCTTCTTTTCCGAAGCAAAGTACACATGCTGCGATGCAGTACGGTCGGACCCAGGCCAGAAGAACATCCCTCAAAAACATGAAACCATCGGCTGGCCAAAACAAACAGAACATCCAAGGGTAGTCTCCCGGGGATGCACAAGAACATGCAACAAGCACGAAGAACACCAGGGGACCCTTCCCAAACCGACCTCGATTTTGTACCTCGGTCCGACTGTACCTGTTAGCCCGCGCGCGTGCCGTTCGCATCACGAGCCGCATGAGAAGAGATAGCGAAGCAGATCCGCAGCCCCAATCGAAAGGGGTGAAGGCCGATGCTGCATCACGCGGCGCTGCACCGCATGTGGGCGTTGGGGCTCTGGTGTAAAGCATGGCTACGCCATTTCCTCCGCCGTCACGCTTCTGTCCGTGACGCGGGCCCCTGGGGCTCCCGACCCTCTTCCCCAGGGCTGGCTTCATCATGGGCCGTTGCTTGATAGCCCCGCGGCCCGGAATGACAGCTGTGAGGCGGACAGCCGCCTCGACTTGTCTTGCGACGCCAAGACCTGATCGGACGTTGCTGCAGGTGGCCCTGGCCCACGGTATGCCGAGCTTTTCGCTGCAATCTGGACCCCTGAGATCGAGAGGTGTCCAGGGGCCGTGGAGTGCCTTCTTGGGAATCCTGGGGGCACCTAGGGCCAAGGACACCTCTGCAGCACCAGACCTGGATGCCCTCCATCCTGTTCCTGCCTCTGGCATTCCCCCCGCTCCTGCGTCCGCGCTGGCTTGCGCTTCGCGGTTCCTACCTCTCGGCTTCACCGGCGGGAGGGGCTGGTCAGGGTTCGGGAAGGGTACTTCCTGCGGCGGGGGGGCCCAGCGCTGCAGTGGGGCGCCAGGAGGGGGGGGCGACGCGTGAGGAAGTAGTGCAAGCACAAGCTCGGAGAGGCACGCGTCACAGGTGAGGGTCGAAGAATGGAGAACGGCGCGAGGAGGACGGTGACACCGATTAATAAGACAAGCTAATGGAAGACCTGCCTGTTTGAGATCGCCCCTTCAGCAAAGGCAACTTTCAGCGAGCCGAGGGTGGGGAAGGGCAGGAATGGTGCTGAAACGGAGAGGAGAGAGTGAACGGTAATGGACAAACAGAGGGGGGAAGAGAAAGAGAGAGAAACAAAGATAACAGCAACGACAACAGAAACGACAACAACAACAACAACAACAACAACAACAACAACAACAACAATCATTTAAGACTGGGGACACTCCGTTCTCACCAGTGCCAGGGTTTTCATAGGAGGCGGGCAATACCCCCACTTTGTGGGGGGGCCGGTTCAAGCTCTACCAAATTTCCAAACGACTCTTCGCCACCACCCACACCCAGCTTCCCGCCCTATGACGTTCGGACACTTCACTTCGTGGCATGCGGACGACCGTGGCTACTATTCAGGGCCCCGCGGCCGACGACGACGGCGTGCGCGCGCGAAGAAAAAACGAATGTGTCCCGCATGGTATTATTTGACAGGGATGATGGCCCTGGCAGGTGCGCAACCGTTGTTGCAGAAGTTCGAAAAAGTTGCTCGCAAAAGCCCGTTTGACAGAAATGTTTAAAAAGTGTTGGGTTTCCTACGAATCCGCAAGAGCGCGCGGGATGAAATTTTGACATTTTTTTTTGAAAAACCATTGGTTTTTTGATGTTTTTATGTTAAAATCGCTACGAAAACTAAGGTTTTGGAAGGATTTCGTCTTGCGCGCGCGAATGTCCACTTTACCTTATTTTTTGCAAGGGATTCTTGAAATTTGATTATATTAGAACAAGAAATGTCATTTTATAGTGTTTTTTGCAAGGGAAAACGGATTACAACAAAACAACCGGATCTGGATCACATCGTTTTACCTGAGGCTTCCTCACGAAAATGATGAAAATGTAGCTGCGGCCTAGGCGGCGCAGGGGGGGCGCGCACCAGGGGGCCCAACAATAATTATTCTTTAGAATAAATAATGTTCAACAACAACAACAACAACAACAACAATCATTTTACCCGAACGCGTGGTGTTCTCCCCAGTGCCAGGGTTTTCATACGACACCAGGCAATACCCCCACTTCGTGGGGGGGCATTCAAGCTCTACCAAATATCCAAACGACTCTTCGCGACCACCCAAACCCAGCTTCCCGCCCTATGACGTTGGGACACTTCACTTCGTGGCGTGCGGACGACCGTGGCTACTACACTGGCGTGGGGTACACACCCACAGAACCCAACGAGATTTCGGCGTGCGCGCGCGAAGAAAAAACGAATGTGTCCCGCATGGTATTATTTGACAGGGATGATGGCCCTGGCAGGTGCGCAACCGTTGTCGCAGAAGTTCGAAAAAGTTGCTCGCAAAAGCCCGTTTGACAGAAATGTTTAAAAAGTGTTGGGTTTCCTACGAATCCGCAAGAGCGCGCGGGATGAGATTTTGACATTTTTTTGTTGAAAAACCATTGGTTTTTTGATGTTTTTATGTTAAAATCGCTCCGAACACTAAGCTTTTGGAAGGATTTCGTCTTGCGCGCGCGAATGTCCACTTTACCTTATTTTTTGCAAGGGATTCTTGAAATTTGATTATATTAGAACAAGAAATGTCATTTTATAGTGTTTTTTGCAAGGGAAAACGGATTACAACAAAACAACCGGATCTTGATCAACTCGAATTACCTGAGGCTTCCTCACGAAAATGATGAAAACGTGGCTGCGGCCTAGGCGCGGCGGGGGGGGCGCGCACCAGGGGGCCCAACAATAATTATTCTTTAGAATTAATAATGTTCAACAACAACAACAACAACAACAACAACTATCACAACAGCAGCAGCAGCATCAACAACAACCACAGTAAGTTTACGACGGTTCGCTCCTATCTGCTCGCGTGCCACTCAACACGCACATCCCGAACCCTCGATACCCGCCCTCCTCAATTTCGACCGTAGCCCCATGAAGGGTAGATATAACTGTTCTGCAACATGTATTTCGTGCAGCCCTGAAGGCAGGGGAAGACGAGGACGGATGGAAGGAAGGGGCAAGGGGAAGGGAGGAGAATGGAGCACGAGAGAGAAGCCATGAGGGGGGCTACGAGCAGAAAACACGTGGCATAACCAGCTGGCAGATCGAATACATCTGAAGAAAATGCGTGACTCCTGAATGAATAAATTGCGAAGGAGCCCCACGCGAGAGCACGACTCCTGAATAATTTGTGAGTGCGTCCCGCGCGAGGGCGCGATTTTGAAATAAATTGTGGAAAGGTATCAGGCGGGAGCCGTTGTTGTTGTAACTCGGGGGCCAAGGGTCCCGTTAGGTGACATCTCACCTTCACTTCTAAAAAAAGAGGGTACGAGCCCTTGGAAAAATACAATGGTTACCGGGCAAGGGGAATCAATAACAAAATACGATTCGGAAATAAGAACTCAACAACACAAGCAGCAACAGCAACAACAGTCAGTTTAAAACTGCTCGATATGATCTGCTCGAGTGCCATTCGACACGTAGATCCCAAACCCTCGATACCCGCTCTCTTCGTCTTCGATCGTACCCCCTTGGGGGCATATCTTCCATACCTGCAACGTGAATTTCGTGAAGTCCCTAAGGCAAGGGAAGAAAGGACGGATGGAAAGAAGTGACAAAGGGGAGGGAGGAGGATGGAGCACGCGAGAGAGAGAAGCAGGAGAGCAGTACTCACGTGGCAGAACCAGACGGGCAGACCGGGCGGGTAGACCCTAACAAGCGGGTCGGAAAGGCGGACCCCAGGCGGCCAGATCGAGCAGGCGGGTCGCTGAAGCGTGCGTTCTGCATGAATCGCGAGGAGGTCTCGAGCGACAACGCGATTCCCGAGTAAATCGTGGGGACATCTACAGCGAGAGCATGATTCCTGAGTGTCGAGGGCGCGGCGTGTCAACAAATTGCAAGGACGTCCCACGCGAGAGCGCGATTCCTGCATAACTCGTGAAGAAATCCTGCGCGAGAGCTCGATGCGGGAATAAATTGTGAGGAAATATCAAGCGGGAGACGGTGTTAATGCTGTCGTAAGCCGGGGGCCAACAACCCGATTCTCAGACCCACGACTTTTCCCTGATTAAACAAAGGTGCGAGCCCAGGGAAAGGCACCTCAATTGAAAAAAAAACATGTACCGGGGGATCATCAATAAATATGCTTCAGCCGTGCGAGTTCAACAACAACAACAACAACAACAACAACAACAACAACAACAACAACAACAACAACGACACCACCACCAACAACAACAACAACAAGGTCAAGGCGGTTCTGAGGGACGCGTCCCGTGCGTTCGCTGTCACCGCCTCGTCCACTAGTACTCAAGGCGGGTAACAATGACACATGACTACCACCCCCACCCCCCACCCCCACCCCCCAGCAACCCAGCAAGCGAGCAACCCAACGCCAACGAAAACAACCACAACGAAAAACAAAAGAATGCTCTCCTTACTTTCTCCCGACGAAACTCCAAGCGGGTTCCGAAATTTGCTCCAGCGAGGTTCCGGAATGGGGGTCCCTTTTGGATCCCTTCTGAGACCCCGCAGGGCCATTTGGATCCCTTTCAGGCCCTGATGGAAGCCCTGCAGGGCGTATAGGATCCCATTAGTGACCCAATGACAACCCTGCAGGGCCTGGAGGATCCCGAAAGGGCCCTATGGAAACCCTGGAGGGCCCTGAGGATCCCTAAAGGGCCCCTATGGAAATTCTGCAGGGCCTAGAGGATCCCTATAGGACCCCGATGGAAACCCTGCAGGGCCTTGAGCATCCCAATAGGGCCCAAACGGAAACCATGCACGGCCTACAGGATCCCTACAAGGTCCGTTTGGGATCCCTATACAATCCTTTTAGGATCCCGAGAGGGACACTCTGGAGATCCCGATAGGGTTCTTTAGGATCCCTATAGAGATCTGATGGAGATGCCTATAGGGTTCTTCACGGTCACTATGGAGACCTTATAGAGATCGCTATAAAGCCCCTCAAGACCCCTATAGAGACCTTATGAGTATTACGATAAGGTTCTTTCGGATCCCTATGGGGACCCTTTTTTGCAGATCCGTGTAGGGTCCCTTGAAGATCCTAGAGACACTGTAGAGATCCCTATACGGTCTTTAAGAAACCTCATAGAAACCATAGAGATCCCGAAAGTGTCCCTTTAGGATCCCTATAGAGACCCGAAAGAGATCCCGATCGGGTCCTTGGGGGGACCCTATAGAGACCCTATAGAGATCCCTAGAGGGTCCGTTTAAGAAACCTATAGAGACCTTATAGAGATCCCTATAAGATCCCAATAGGGTCCCTTTATGAACCCTACAGAAACCCCATCGAGATCCCTGTAGGGTTCCTTCAGGAACCCTATAGAGATCCTATAGATCCCAATGAGGCCTCTTTAGGAACCCTATAGAAACACTGTAGAGATCCCTACAAGGCCCCTTCAGGAACCCTATAGGGACCCCAGAGAACCCATTCAGAGACCATGCAGGGCCTGCAAGGTCCCTACAGGATCCCGCCAGGATCCTTATAGGTTCCCTATGGAGACCCTATAAAGATCCGTGCAAGGTCCCTTTAGGATCCCTATCGAGACCCTTAAGAGATTCCTACAGGTCCCTTCAGGATCTCTATAGACACCCTATAGAGATCCCTATAGGTTTCAAAACCCTATGGAGATCCTATAGGAGATCCCTATAGGGTCCCTTCAGGAACCCTATAGAAACCCTATATAGATCCCCATGGGCTTCTTCTAGGAACCCTCTAGAGACCCTTTCTAGAGATCCTACAGAGGCCATACCGAGCCTGCAAGTTCCCTATAGGATCCCGCTCGGATCCTTATACAGTCCCTATAAGGGGTCCCTGAAGGATACCTTTTCGAGGCTCCTATAGAATCCCTAGAGGACCCTTACTGAATCCCTATAGAGATCCTGCAGGACCTGACAGGTCGACAGGCTCCCTACAGGATCCTTGAAGGATCCCTTTTGGATCCCATAAAGATCCTGGAGGGCCCGAAAGGTCCCTATAGGATCCCTACAGGGTCCCTTTCTGATCCCTGAAATGATCCTATGGAGATCATGCGGGGCCCGTAAGGTCCCTACAGGATCCCTATGGACACCCTATAGAGATTCATGTGGGATCCCTGTAAAGAACCCATAGAGATCCTGCAGGGCCTGCACGGTTCCAATCGGACCCCTATAGAGGACCCCATAGAGACCCGACTGAAGTAGTATATGTAGTACTAGTAGTAAAAAATAGTGGTAGCAGTAGCAGTAGTAGCAGTAGTAGTAAAAGTAGTAGCAGTAGTAGTAGTAACAGTAGTAGTGAAAATAGTACTAGTAGTAATAGAAGAAGAAGAAGTAGAAGTAATAGTAGTAGTAGTAATAATAGTAATGAAAGGAGGAGTAGTAGTAGTGATCGTAATAGTAGTAGTAGCAGTAGCAATCGTAACAGTAGTAGTAGTAGTAGTAGTAGTAGCAGTGGTGGTAGTAGGAGTAGCAGCAGTAGTAGTACTGGTAGTAGTAGTAGTAGTAGTAGTAGTGGCAGTAGCAGTAGTTTTAGTAGTAGTGTGGTAGTAATAGAAGTAGTAGTAGCAGTAGTAGTAGTAGGTAGTAGTAGTAGGTAGTAGCACTGACACTGCGAGTGCTTATAGTACTAGCAGTGCTAGTAGTATTACTAGTACTAGTAATACGAGTAGTAGTAGTTGTAGGGGTAGTAGTAGTGGTAGTGGTAGTAGCACTCGTAGTACTAGCGGTACTCGTAGTACTAGTAGCACTAGTAGTATGGGTAGCACGAGTAGCCCTGTAAGTAGTAGTAGTAGTAGTAGTAGTAGTAGTAGTAGTAGTAGTAGTAGTAGTAGTAGTAGTAGTAGTAGTAGTAGTAGTAGTAGTAGTCGTCGTCGTCGTCGTCGTCGTCGTCGTCGTCGTCGTCGTCGTCGTCGTCGTCGTCGTCGTCGTAGTAGTAGTAGTAGTAGTAGTAGTAGTAGTAGTAGTAGTAGTAGTAGTAGTAGTAGTAGTAGTCGTAGTCGTAGTCGTAGTGTAGTAGTAGTAGTAGTAGTAGTAGTAGTAGTAGTAGTAGTAGTAGTCGTCGTAGTCGTAGTAGTAGAGTAGTAGTAGTAGTACTAAGTCGTCCCTCGGGAATCAATGAACCATGAGAACCCCGGGGGAATCCTACGAATCGTTCGGGAATTCTTGTGGGGAAACTTGGAAATCCCTGTCCTTGATCCCATGCGCCCTGTATGGGATCCCACACAGCTCCCATCCGGCCTGGTAGGGCTGTGTTCGGCTCCCGTTGTATTCATATGGTGTTGGAAACACTCCCCCCTGGACGGGGAGTAGCCCACCCCCAAGGGGGGGGGGGGGGGGGCGAAGGCCGTTCGGGATGGGGGGGTTGCTGGGTTGCTGGTTGCTGGGGTGGGGTTGGAGGACCTTCACACCAGCCTTGTTCAACAACAACAACAACAACAACAACAACAACAACAACAACAACAACAACAGCAGCAGCAGCAGCAGCAGCAGCAGCAGCAGAAGCAAAAACAACAACAACACCAACAACGACAGCAGCAACAACAACAACAACAACAGCAGCAGCAGCAGCAGCAGCAGAAGCAAAAACAACAACAACACCAACAACGACAGCAGCAACAACAACAACAATAACAAACCTGGAAACAGTAGCGATATCAACAACACCAACAACAATCACAGAAACAGCAGCAGCAGCAATGGCAACAACCACACCAACAACAACAGCAACCAAGTTCAGACTGTTCGCTCTGATCTGCTCGCGTGCCATGCAACACGTATGCCCCAAACCCTTGATGTCCGCCCTCTCCGTCTTCGAGCGTACCCCCATTCGGGGCCTATACGCCTTACCTGCTACGCGTTTGTCGTGCAGCCCCCAAGGCAGGGGAAGGGAGGACGGATGGAAGGAAGAGAGAAGGGGGGGAGGCAGGAGGACGGAGCACGAGAGAGTAGCAGCGGGGGTGCCAGGAGAGGAACACACGTGGCAGCGGGCAGAGCGGGACTCATGCGGACGGTAGCACTGGGACCTTCGGTGGGGCCCCCTATGGGGCCACGAAACGCTGTACTGGGTGTGCGGGACGCATGCGGACGGTAGCAGGAGGAGGGGGAAGAGGAGGAAGAGGAGCGCGGGGCGCTGTCTCTTCAAAACGAGGACCCAACACCACAGGATGGTTGGGGAAAAAACATGTGAAGACTGTTCGCTCTTATCCGCTCGCGTGCCATTGAACACGTATATCCCAGGCCCGCCTTCCCGCCCTCTTCGTCTTCGATTGTACCCCCCTTGGGGGTCTATCTTCCTTACCTGCCACGCGTAGTTGGCGCAACCTCTCAAACAGGTGAAGGGAGGAGGGAAGGGACAACGAGGAGAGAGAAGGATGGAGCACGACAGAGATCAGCAGGAGGGAGGGTTCGGGGCAGAAAAACAAGCGGCAGAACCAGATGGGCGGGTCGGGCGGGGCGGGTCGGGCGGGCTGGCGCCCAGACGGCGGGGTCGAGCGCGCGAGTCGCTGAAGCGTCAGTCCAGCATGAACTGGGAGGAAGTCTCTAGCGGTAGAGCGATTCCCGAGTAAATCGTCAGGAAATCCAAAGCAAGAGCGTGATTCCTGGGTGTTGGTGGGGGCGCAGCACTTCAACACACTGCGAGGACGTACCACGCATGAGCGCGATTTCTGGATACGTTGTGGGGAGGTCCCGAGCGAGAGCGCGATGAACAAGTTGTGAGAAGGTATCAGGCGGGAGCCGCGGTTGTTGTAAACCGGGGGCCAGCAACATAATATGAGCCTCAAGACTTCCCCTTGCAAACCCGGCGCGAGCCCCGGGAGGGGCACCTTGATTAGAAAACACGCTGGGCACCGCGCAGGGGGATCAACCATAATTATCATTTAGAAATGAAGCTTAAAAAGCATGACGGTCGGACCTAGGACAGAAGAACATTCTTCAAGAACATGAGACCCTCCGCTGGCCAAAACACAGAGAACATTTAAGGGTGCCCTCCCCAAGATGCACAAGAGCTTTCCACACAGACGAAGAGCATGAGGGCACCCTCCCCGAACCGACCTCGATCTTATACCCCGGTCCGACTAAAACAACAAGAAGAGGGAGCGAGAGAGAGAGACGGGAGAGAAGAGCGAGAGAGACTGGGAGACAGAGAGACGGAGAAAGAGGCAGAGAAAGAGACAGAGGCAGACGGCGAGAGACGCAGAGAGGAACCGCAGCAGCCGAGGCGAGTGCACCGAGCGTGGTGCCAGCGACGCGGATCCAGGCAGGGCATCAAGCCACCACCGCAGGCCGAGCTGCAGGCCCTGCTGCACATGTGCGGGGGGGGAGGACTTCTCGACGTCGGCGGCGCTCCTCCTCCCTCCCCCCTTGCCACCATGCCTCCCCCACCCCTCCCTCCTCCTCCCCTCCCCTCCAGCCCCCCCCCACGCCTTGCCACTGGGGCGCCTCCCCGCGTCGGGCCGGTGCCGCGCGGGGTGGGGGGGCGATGGAGAGCCTAACAGCCCCGCAGTTCGCGCTCGAGGCGGCGGCCGCGCCGGCCTGCCCGCGGCCCCTCTGCGCTGCGGCCTCGCCCCTCCGCGCCCCCATTGGCAGATCTCAAGGTCGAAACGCGCCCCCGTCTGAGGTGCTGCTGCGAAGCGCCGTTGGGACCCGAGGTGGCGCGCAGACAAGCAGGGAAGGCCGTCCTGCCCGTCTTCGTTGAAGATCAGCGGCATCCACTCGGGGTGGTCCTGCCACGGACTTCGTTTGCTGGCGTGATGCCGATCAGCACGCGACCACTTGGCGAAACGTCTGCGCGCGCTGGATCCACCAGACACTCTCTGGGAGATGAAGATCGCTAAATGTATATTCGCGTGCACGGTCACATTGGAGCTCAAGCCGGACCCCGTACAAGGAGGATAAGCCCTTTCAATACGGAGACATCGTTGTTATCCACATCTGACTGTAGAGCACGATCCCTGAGTAGATCGAAGTTCTCTGAACCTCCTGTAATGTTGGTCCTCGTCTTCAATCGGCAGCGGCACACGTCTCCCTCCTGACTCACTAATCATCCCTTCTCCCCTCCCAATTGCTCATTGTGTTGCGTTGCCTGCTGCGCGATGTCACTGCACCGCCACTGCCAGCAGCGCTGCTGCTGCTGCTGCTGCTGCTGCTGCTGCATCTGCTGCTGCTGCTGCATCTGCTGCTGCTGCTGCTGCTGCTGCTGCTGCTGCTGCTGCTGCTGTTGCCAGCCCCAAGCCCATTTCGGCATACCCCGCACATGGTTCACGCACCACTTCGTGGGATTCCACCTGGGCCCCAGCGGAGGTGCGCCTACGCGCTTGCCCCGTCCAATCTGGCTCACTTACCATTCGGCCCACCTCTCTTCGTGCTCCGCCTAGGGTCCCTGCGATAATGTGCAGAAAACCCACGAGTTGGGCGATGTCAGTCGAGACGCTGGGGAGCTCATCCGCTACCATGTCCCTGACACCGCTGCAAGATACAGGGAAGGTGTGCTAAGTACCACTTCTTCCCCTCGCGCATGAAAATACAAGCCGGGCGGAAATGTGTTCATGGAACTGCCTGGTTACTCAAGTGAACTAGACGCAAGAACAGACTCGATGATGGCTACCAGTCTGCATCTTGAGATTTAACGGAAAACCACGCGAAACACACAAAGTATGCTTATGCTGCTGGCCCGTGCCTCGATCCCCGCTTCCTTCTGTCCTGGAAAATTAGCACGAAGAATATACGGAACCAAAGCCATACCAGCCACCCTCCTGCTTCCAGGCTTGACACCTGCAACCTTGATCTGGGAGTGTTTCGGCCAGGCTTATGCACGAACTGGCTCCGTCCCTCCCTCCCTCCCTGGCTCCCTTCCTCCATTCTCCCTGGCTCGCTACCTCAATCCTCTCTTAGCGCATCCCAATCTGCCTCCCTCTCTCCCACCCCTCCTGTTAGGATAAGAGCGAAACGCATTAAATCCATAGCACATCACTGATAGACGCATGCCCTCACCCTCCAAATGCTGCGCCGCCACACCCAGCGACGCGCCCCAACCTGGTCCTGTCCTCGCCATCATCTTCAACAGCCGTTCCTCCCTGTCTCCACCCTCCGCTCCTACCATACGCTCTCCCACCCTTGCCCTTCATCCACCCTCATTCCTCCCCGTCAGTCATCATGCCTCCTCATCACTCCTCTCCCCTTTTCCATACCGTCCTTTTCCTCCTCCTCTATTCACGCTCCATTCAGTTCGTCACCCCAGGATTGTCCCATCGAGCTCCCGCAGCGCCGACGGATCCAGCGTGTCAGGGCGTTGCTTAAACAGATTTCTCCAGGGCAAACTAGATTGCCTCTGGACAGAAGCTTCCCCCTACTGACCCAAGGCTCCTTGGGTAATTACTACCTACCTCTTGATATTGGGAACCCTGGCCACCAATAGAAGCCTCCTTTCTCCCAGGCTAGATAAGCTGTGACCTCCAGCTGGAAGCCCTTAGAAGAATATTACAAGGAACAGGGAATAGCTCTACATTCCGAGTATATCACAGAACCAAACCTGGGACGGAATGGCGGGCAGGTGGACTTGCTGCACACGTCTGCGCCCGTACGGGTTGCCACACACGAAGACGAGCTGTGCCGACGGGGCCCCTCAGCCCCGCCCTGCCGCCTTCCAAACAGGCCAGGGGCGTCGTGCTGCACGCTGGTGGACACTCTCGGAGGGCGCGGCGCGCATCGAAGACCAGAGCGGCAACATAGAGGGCACGCTTGTTATTCACAGGATCGGGGGTGGCCAAGAGGGGGGCGTCCAAGAGAGGGGGCGCAAATCATGGCCGGCGGCATGTGCGCGGCCCAGGGGGTGAGAGCCAGGGACGTAATGAAATAAGAAGAAGCGCCATGATATCCACCACCACCCCTAGTCATCACCCCCCTCTTTGCCGCCGACGACAAGAGGGGGCACGATAGTCTGTGGACAGATCCTCCGTGGACAGGACCCCGGCTGACTTCGCGAGACGACTGCTCCGGACCTCGCAGCCCTCCACACGCACACACACACGCACACACACACATGTGCGTGCGTAGGGTTCCTCCATGCGGCGAGATGGCGGCACCGTCGCGAGCACTAAGCCGGGACACGCTTAATCACGAGGCCCAAGGACACAAAAAAATACACACTAATCCAAGGATTCCCCATATTTTTTTCATATTTTCTGGGTTTTCGTCTTCCCCCCAACTTCCCATATTTCCCATACTTTCCTGGGAGTCGACGACTAAGTGTATCTGTGTGTTTTTTCCCCTCCTGACTTAACTCGAAGTCCACCTGGCGTAGCAGGCAGCTGAACTGGACGTGGCAGTCGCGCAAAGGGGAAAAGGACGGAGGCAGGTAATAGCGTGGAAGGTGCCGACGTGCGCGGCCATGCAAAATGCAGGAAACACACACACACACACCAGCGTCCCACTTGACTGCCCGAGCAAGAGGGCAAGACCAAGTGTTCATCTGGGGCAGGGGAAAATGTCAGTTCGGAGGAAGGGGGCATCTTCGCTCAGATGCAGTGTTGTCTCACAATTATCATCGAGGGGTAGTGCTGTTTATGCCGCATTCGTCTGATTCGGGAGCTATCCCTGCTGACAAGGACGGACAGATGTGGCACCTGGAAGCTAGCATCCGCCCTTATCGTCGCATTCGTCCTACTCGCATTGGCCATCATCCTCCTGCTTATCCTCCTCTTTATTATCATCGTCATCATCATCCACATCATCAGCATCAGCATCAACATCAGCATCAGCATCCGCATGAGCATCAGCATCATCAATATCGGCATCATCATCAGCAGCAGCAGCAGCAGCATCAGCATCAGCATCAACATCATCATCGTCATCATCAGCATCAGAATCGTCGTCGTCGTGATACTCATCGTAACTATAATTGTAGCCGTCACCGGCATCATAATCCTCTTCATCACCATCGTTTTCGCCCTCAGCGTCATAGGCCCCATCATTACAATAAACAGCAATCTTCATCATCGTCCTAATCACCGTCGTCATTTGCACCCTCATCCGTATCTTCTACAATGACCCATCCTTCAGCATCCATCCTCCATCCTGTCATCTCCATCACTCCATATGCTTCTCGTCCTGCTGCTGCTGCTGCTGCTGCTGCTTCTCCTCCTCCTCCTTCGCCTCCTCTTCCTCCGCCTCCTCCTCCCTCCTCCTCCTCCTCCTCCTCCTCCCTCCTCCTCACCACTCCTCCCTCCTCCCTCTTCCCTCCTCCCTCCTCCCTCCTCCCTCCTCCCTCCGCCTCCCTCTCTTCTCCTCTGGCGTCCCCTCCCCCCGTCTCCCGCACATCCCATTCCTCTTTCCCCCCTCCTGACTCATCATCCTTCTCCGACCTCGCGCTCCTGCAGCTCCCATCCAATTCCCCTCCTCCTTCCCCCCCTCCTTCCCCTCCTCCATCCCTCCTCCTTTCTCTCCTGCTCCTCCTTCCCCGATTCCCTCTCGTCCTCATACACGCTCCCTCTCGCTCCTGCAGCTGATTCATCACAGGGCTGTTCCGCAAGCGCCTCACGTTCTCCTGCAGACCCTGCACCCTGGCTGGCGTGACCTGCGGCGAAGCGCGGCGTCTTCCCTTCGCGACGTCGCAGGGGACAGCAAGCAGCCGGCCGGTCCAGTGCGCACCCCACGCGCGCGCGCGCGCCCCCCAAAACCACAAGCTCGGCCGACAGGCAGGGTCAGCTGGAGGCGGGGACGGGGCCCCTCATGGAGCGTGCGCGTTCTAACCAGGACGTCGAAGCGGATCGGGCCGTTGCGACGAATCCCCCCCGCCTCCCTCCCCCCCCCGAAAGCCGAGAAGAGGGGGAGAATCCTGAGCCCCGGATCGGCCTGGTCAAAAAGGCCTGGTCAGCCGACAGGCAGGGTCAGCGGAGGGCGAGGCAGGGGCGCCCTTCGTGGACCGCGCCGGAGGGGAGGGCACGGGCGACGCACGGGCGGGACGGTTGGCCTGCGAGCGTCAGGGGGCCGCGTGGGTGCCAGAGCACAGAGTGAGGTGCCGGGGGCCGCGGAGTGCAGGGCTGTCAGCGGAGGAGGCGGGGAGGAGTAGGAGGAGGAGGAGGAGGAGGAGGAGGAGGAGGAGGAGGAGGAGGAGGAGGAGGTAGGAGGAGGAAGAGCACTCGCCAGGGCGGAGGAGTTCGAGCAAGAAGAGGAAATCGACGAGGAGGGGGATCATCTAGCGGGGGCGTGGGAATCTCTGGGGCTGGGGCCCGTGGCACCCAGGCTGCCAGAGCCAGAGGCTACAGTGACGCGTTGCAAGGAGGGGCACGAAACAGGTGAACAGTGTACTCGGTTTTGCAGGTGCCTCAAACCGCACACGCATCCCGACCCATTGTCTGCCACTCACGATGCAGAATGTGGCCAGCGATTGCGATCATTGAATGATCCAGCCCCTTCGCCTGACACACACACACACACACACACACACACACACACACACACACACACACACGGTCCTCAACGACAACATGGAGCCGATGCACTCTCGTGCCACCCGCTAGCGAGGGTACAGCCTGTCGTCAGAGAGTAGCTATGCTCCTGATACAAGTGGCCTCGCGCCACTGCCGCACCTGGGCGGACGTGCGCCAGCGTGCCCGCGATGGCATCCGGGAGATCGCCAGCGGCGCCTCCATTTTTTCTGGCCCCGTACTGCGCGGGCGAGCGCGGCCTGGCTCCCCACGATGCAGAATCGTACGGCCAAGATGTGAGACGAGCGACGAGCCGCGCCGACGCACGAGACCACTGCGTTCACGAGGACGCTGGCTCTTGCGGACCGCGCAGCCCCACGTTTCGCTCTCCCTCATGTAGAGGTCTCATAGATGGGGTCAGAGTAGATGGGGTCGGAGGATCGCGCCACACCGCCGATGTATCGCTGATGCATCGTCGATGCATCGCCGACGCGTCGGCGACGCCGGCGTGGAACACAACGGGCTCCGCATCGAGCCGCATCGCCGATGCATCGGCGATGCAGCGCGATCCTCCGACCCCATCTACTCCGACCCCATCTAGGAGGCCTAGTTCATGACAGCAAAGGCCTCTTTCGCACCGAGCGAGCGAAGGCCGACGTGCGGCTTGCAGCAGCGAGCCCCGCGTGCCCCCCCCAGCACGCGGCAGGCGCCAGCAGACATCCTGGCCCGCGGCAGCTCCCAGGGGGCGGAGGCGGAGGGGCTACGGGGACCTTGACAGCTCCCGTCTGACTGACGTCTGGCGCCTCCGCCAAACATCTGCGAGCAGTGCTGGGGGATCCGCTGGAACGATGTGCTCGCCGCGAGGAGAAGGCCCCTCGCGAGCGGGATCGGCGTCTTCAAACGTCCCGCGATAACTGGATTATAACATACGTGCCACGCGCTGTGCGTGGGATGTCCGTTATCCAGCTCGCCCTCCTCAGGCTCGCAATCCGACGAGGCAAGCTTCACGACATACCTGTGAGCAGCTTACTGTACATTACTTTCGTCTAGTAAGCGATAACTAAGCGGCTTGCCAGCCACCCTCACAGATGCACGCAGGAATGGATACTACATCATGTCGCCTGCAGGCACATGGCTCTTCTGGTAAGGTGTGAGATTTCACGCCACGGGCTGTGTGCGAAGTGTGCTCCTGGATCGCACGAGCACCAATGACAACTAGAACAAAGTTGGGGCACGGAGATACGAGCAGAAACAGACCCTTAAGAGCACGGTCCGCAGGCCTCAACCACCTTCTTCGAGTTGAGGCCCGGCAAGCATTTCCTGACG